TGTCTTCGCAGGTCAGTGCTCGAAGAAGTGCTAGGTTCACTGCAAGGGAGTGCTTCGCCACCCAAAAAGCTGCCCACCAGCTGATGCGCCACAAAAATACTTGTTTTCTCGTTTTCAGTCCGCTATACGGTGATTGACTCATGTTCCTGGCTGCGTGGAAGGCCCTAGCTGTGTTCCTGCTCGTTCCTGACTCCGACTGACCTGTTCAGACATGTTCAGACCCCATTCTGGCCTTGATTGTTCTCGACATGATTCCCAGAATCTGTTTTCAGTCAACATATCACAGAGCACTTGCAATTGCGAATGTATTCCGTTTCTGGCAGCTATCGTACAATCCCCAAGAGAAAACAGGATGAAGCGACCTGGCACTACCAGTTGGAGTTTCCTCTACGGATAAAGATCGAGATGGGAGGTTGGGGTTGTAGTGTCCAGCAAACCATCCAGTTGGTAGCTGCAGTCGGTCTCAGTCTTCACCGTTTCTGCCACCGGGTTGCCAGCTGCTACTTCTCGTTGTTCGAGCCGACGTTGTTCAATGGCTTCTGCAAGCGGATGACACGCAATCTCACGTTGAAACTGGTTTTTTAACCTAAAAGGACACAACAGGACTGTAGGAATCTGTAGGATGGAGTACCAACCGTTCAACCACTCAAAATGATGCCCTCAGAGCACTTTCAAACACACCAGCTTTCGTACGTAACTCGTGGCTTCTTTCGATTCAGCCCACGTTCGATTCGACTCGGGGAGTCCCGATCGAACTTCTGGAGATCGATCGAAGACCACAACGAGACCTGGATGGACCATGAGTCGAGCCTCGAAAAACGAGACCTGTTCTTATTCTTGGATGTGTTTCTTTTTTCGTTTTTCTGAAGTCTTTCATTATGCCCTATAGGGCTCCAACCCACCTCCGTTTCGAAGGTGGTTGGGTTGGGTGCCAGGAGGATCTAACCACCGAACCTGAGGATATGGGCCAGGAGCCCAAACGGGATGCACATGGTCGCATTCTGAGGAACACCTTCTGAGGAACACATCGCATGGTATGAGGATTTCATAGGTCATCCTTTCGATGCCAGCCATTACCATCATTGTTTCAGGGAGTGCAGATGATCTGGTCAATCAAGTGCCATGCGGGTGATTTCCATGGCATGAGGATGCATAAGGCATGTGATGGCGCATCTGCCTCACCTGAGCTCATGCAGGTTCATTCACACCGTCGACACCAATTGCCAAATGGTGCCGATTGAATGGCCACCATGAGCATCAGAAAGAAGCGAGACATGAAGCTTTTGGATTCATGTGTTGGACTCCTGTCATGAGCATCAACCCAAAATCAAGGCAACAAAATAACTCCTCAATATTCCTCATGATATCTCATGATTCTTCTCGTATATTGATGCATAAACAATTCCAATAATTCCTGGATTGGCCCGGCGAATCGCCTCTTCGTACTGTCAGGATGTCGTCCTCGGCTCTTTTCGAGCAGCAAAAGCACACGTTCCAACAACGAGCGCGACAAAACGACGAAAGGACGTGTTGTCCGGAAGAGTCTTGTCTCAAAAATCTCAAATGTCGCAAATGGAAGGCTACCTGTCTGGGAGCCAAGTTTGTGGATATATATATTATAATACATATTCATATCGGTCGTAAGGACTCCTAGTGATGGTGATCGACAAGTAGATCACAAGAACAACATTGAGCTGACTTTCGATGTGAGGTCTTGTCATATGTTTTCCGTATCAACGGACCCAACATCGACTCAATATTCGGTGAGCTCCACATATCTGCACCTCAACGAACAGAGACATCTTTTCGGTGCTCTTCTTCCCACGAAGGAATCAAACGTCAGGGTTTTGCAGGAGTCAAATCTTGCACCCTGTACTCACCCTGGAACAAAGCTGGGAGACCGCTGTGTATCGTATGGCAATTTGGACAGCCTCCCCGGCCGCGGGGCTGAAATGCCGGTGAGAAAAAGAGCTCGAAATCCACCATGTTCAACAGGTGCTTAAGACTTCTTAGCGTTCCGATCGACTTTTGGGTCGGAGCGTTCCACAATGTTTCACCAAACCGCTTTAGGGAGGGCTTGGATGGCTATATATCTACCTCTAGCCTTGGATGGCTGCTGCTTTTGGAAGCATCTAAAAAGACGTTGATTTGCATGTAGAAAAGCTCTAATATACTTAGCGATTCAAGGTAACTATACTCGCGCCATCACGTTGATACATCCCCTCCAAGTCTCATAGTCGGGGTAAATCTTAAATGCAGATGCTCCACAGCCCATGGCGCGCAGGATAGCCCGGCGTAAGCCTTTGGGAATGGTCTTGGAGGAAAATGGCAAGTGGCGCGGACGGATTGGGCACTCAGCTCCAAAGGAATCCATGCTGATGACTGATGACTGACCCGTTGGGGTGTGAAATTTCAGAAGGGCCCAATGCCCAATGTATATACAACTAGGTGGATATGTGTATATATATAATATATGTCAGTACAAACTGGGTTTGCTTTCTTCATCGCCTTTGACCGAAAGACCAACGCCTGGAGATCAAAATTCCTGATTGGAACATTTATTGGAACACAATGTCACTTGCACTGGTGAATCACATGATAAAAAGAGCGGTCTCGGGTTTGGGGTTTCCAAAACGACGGAGCGCCGATGCATGTGTTGTGCGGCATGTCATTCACCGAGCTCCCCAACGGAGGTGCTTCTCCTCACGACGCAGATCGACGATGCAAAGCGCCGCTCCCGTTCGGGCCGTTTCGGCGGAACCCTTTGGGCGTGAAGCAACTGATCTATGATGATGATGATGATGATGATGATGATGATGATGATGATCAATTATGGTAAACACACATTTGAGGTCATATGCCCAAAGGAAACGGGCTGGAACTCCCGCTTGGAAGGTTTTAGATGGTTTCATCCTCGCAGCTTGGAGGAACACAAGTACAATACCTTGCAAATAGCCAGTGCCTTCCAGGGTTATTCTTCTCCTTTGTTCACTATTTTGATGTGTTGTAAATCATCCTATAGTTACTATAGATCTCTCTCTCTCTCACATATATATATATATGTATATACACACATTCATTTAGTTTGCATAGGTTCTTTTTAAACCTCGCTGCGAGGAGGACCACAAAGGATCACCGCAACTTCGAGGGTCACCGTGGACGGTTTGGTGTTCCGATCAACTGCCCGATGGATCCCAAAAGGTGCTTGGTTATGTACACCCCTTTAAAGCAGATTCGGAGGGTCCTAAGTACGTCCTGAGGTTAAAACATGTGGATCCAATGAATTGTCAGGAAGAACTTGTTGTAAAAGGTCTAATTGAAATTCCAATCTCCAAAGCATCTCAAATTAGTAAGATTGCCTTCAGAACGTGCAACCGAGGCACACCAAGCGGGCCACCTGAACCTGGAGTCGGTAAGGGAGCATTCGCCCCACACGACCTCAAACAGCTCAGCGATTTGATATGACTCATCCCCATTAAACTTGGAATATCACGTTTTTGGCATCCAACTCTAGCTTGCAATACCAACATCTCCAACAACAAAAACAAAGGGGAAACACTACCATCCCTGACCCCATCTCTTAGCCAACACTGGGCGCCAGCTGGTTTTTTCGGCCACATGGACCATGTTCGGTTCTCTACCCGAGATGCGAACCAAAAAGGCTGCCGTTCCTCTCATCCTCCACCAGCAAGGTTTGGATGGACCGCCTCACGGATGCAGAGTTCGGCCCACGGCCGCCTGGTCAGGCCGTGGTTGGTCTTTCTAACTCTTGTTGGCATTCACCTAGAAAAAAACCATGGCAAGAGCTTGCTTGCTGAAAAAAACACAGTTGCACATGTGATGAAAGGGGCACACTCTGAATATCTCAGGCCGGTATTCTGAATATCTCATTCACCAGTCTAGTAACAAGAAACTACTAATAACAATTGTCTGCAAATCAATTCCACTTTGCCATGCTGCATGGCGCCCTCCTGTGCGAGATGAGCTCCACTGCTTTGGTGCTCCCAGCATGCCGCACCTGTGTGGTGGCGCATAACAAAGCATTGTGCTGATCCGTTGATCCCGGAAATAGCACCATACCCCAAACATAAAAAACACTTTTCTCAGAAAAAACTGGTTGGGTCCAAGTGTACTTTCTATTGCTTTAAAAATGGCTCGCAAGAAACGCGAGTAGCAAGGTGGCGCTCCACAAGCCGGCGACAGCTAGGTTGAAAGTCCCATGAACGAGCTGCATTTTCAATTGCAATTACTCCATGTAGCTTCTGGGCAACGATGAGGAGCCTCTTAACCTTGTTTTGGATTGTAACAGCTGTGCTGCGCTTGGTTTGAGTTCAAAGGCCGCAGGCTGCGGGGAGCCAGCACAGTGAATGCCATCACCTGTTTGTATCTAATGCTGCGGTCAAAAACCGCGGAACGAGCGGCGGACAAAAACCAAACGGAGACCTATCCCTAACAGAGTGCAACCGGTGCCGCCTGTCTCCTTCTCTGCAAATGAACCCGCATGAACCCGCTCTATATCGAATGCACCCGCTTGCTCATCCATTTCCAGGCAGTTTGCCGGCAGTTCTTCGGACTAGCAGCTAGCACATATTGCATGAAACGGTCTCGTGATGTCTTGTGTGCGTGGGATTGTGTGGGTATGTGTGTGTTTGCCCCTTGTAGTCACAGGGATTCTTTTGAATTGTAATTCGTTTTGTTTTCAGCAGGGGGACACAGCATTTCACTGGGACTGTGTCCAACGAAGCTACCAGTGAAATGGGATATCCAGCTTGGCCAGCTGGACGTACCTGCAACAACTTTTAAAGTTTGCGGCAGTCATGCACGTTACGCCGTCATCTGTCGGTTCGTTTCCGACTTGAGCCTTTGGCCCCTTCTCCGTTTGAAGACCCCGAGGCCCCTTGTACTCTTAGGAAATGGTACCCTAGGCCGGCGTGTGGCACCGCTGTCCGTCCGTACGCATATCCATAAGTGTGTGCACGTGGTTTCACAGGTAAAGCATGGCCTGATCAGTCATGTGTACCTGCCTGCTTGTCTACTCGGCTCTTGCTTGGACCCCAGTTGTGTTCTCCCACAAGGAGTGTTCACAGTATGTGTGTATGCCCGTGTCTTGCTCAAAGCCCTTCTAGCAGTCTAGCACACCTGCCGAACCTAGAACTCAAATGGTCTAGAGTCTAGTGGTGCCTGCACGACGCTCGTAAAAAAGGGAACAATGTGCGTGCCAAAGTCACGCATGAACCAAAGTGACGTGAATCAAATGATTCTAAAAGAGTCCGTTCGTAGCAGGAACAGCTCGTTCGCAGCAGTTCCGAGGATTGGAAGCAAACGGTGCCCGTTCGTGATTTGTGTTTTCGGCGGACGTCCCATTGGTTTTGAGGCTGGTCCCCCACAGCATCGATTTGAGAAGTCTCAGGACATCAACTTGCTTGGAAAGGACGCAAAGGACACGCAACTTGCTTGCAAAGGAAAACGGTTTGTATTTCTTGCATTTCTTCGTACCTATAGAGCAAAACGAAGGGTCTGCATGCTAGGGCGATTGATTCTGATGTTGGTCGGAGTGTCCTACCATGCGGGAGTTTGTCCGCTCACTGCCCTCACGGAACTTCATTCCAGGTCAAGGAAGTTGAGAATCATGGTTAGCTACATCTACTGTTCCAAAACAAGCTTGTTCTAACACAGCAAAAATACAGCCAACGAAAAGAACACGCTCAAACTGACTCAACATGTTCCAAAGGACAAACCTCAAGGTATCCAGATAGACCAACAACGTCTGAACTTGTTTCCCACTCAGAAGGACTTTCTGCTCAAAAAAAAGAGACCGCGCTGATGGAGCTGGACACTCTTGAAGAGGAGGAGCTGGAGCTGCTGGCCCAGTTCACTTTGATTTTTGGAGTTGGAAGAGAAATTGGAACGCTCTACTCAGCCAGATGCAAAGTTTACTCAGCCAGCTGCACGGGCATTTGGCGCTCAAGAATGCACGGGTTCTTGTGCATGAGTCCACAACATGAAAAAGCACATCTCATCCCAATTTGTCGAGGTGACAACCAAGTGCAAGCAATGTGAAGAAAAAATACCCAAATGAAGCTCGCCGACCAGACATCGCCGACCTTCAACCAAAAGCCCAGATCCTCCTCGCTTTGGTTCAAGACCTCAGTTGGGGACCTTACCCAGACCATCCATGTATGGAAGAGTTACATCCATTGGGGTCATAAATGAAAGTATTCCAGACATGGATGGTCTGGGTGAAATCCCACTTCCAAGCCGGATTGGATCCTGGAAAAGGTGAAGATGAACCGAACCACTCCGACACCTCGCTGTGCCGGGTGATGAACGATCCACGGACTTCCATGACTTCCTGGGTACAAGTAGGGGGAACACTCTAAGAATTACTCATTCAACATGTGGTTCAGGCGGTCCACAAGGTCCACTCCAGCGTGTGGTCCTGTGTCTCGTGTCTGGACTCGGTTTTGGGCCACCACAACCACTTGCCCATCCGGATTCAGAAAGGAGGTCACCTGATTGGCTCAGAAAAGGGCTTCGACATGAAAGGAAATCGCCCACAAGCCCGGCCTGCATCGGGAAAAGTCACTTGGGAAGAACCTTCATCTCTTCAATTCTCTTTATAAACATCCTTCAGATCTTTCTATATAAATCCTTGCGTGATCAATCATCACCAATTATATCGACTGTTTCTAAGCCCGACCGCCTCAACCCCCCCCGTACGGTGAAAGAGTTTTAAAGACTTTTCCGGCATCCTTAGCTTCTGGTTCCTAGCGGGAGCATCCAGGAGCTTCGGTTCGCGTCCGCTCCAGTTCGAGCCTCGAGGGCATCTCGGGTGCTACTGCAAAGCAGCCGCCGCGCACCTGGCCTCGTCGTTCACAAGTGGCACAAAACACTCCGAAGCACCGGAATGGAGAAAAAGAACACCATTTAATATATAGCTTTTGGCCCTTCTTTGGGGTGAGACAAATCGCTTTTTGGAGAAGGCATTCATTCAGGTGAAGGTGCACGTTGCTCCACGATTTTCCCGAGATTCACCATTAATTGTTAGCTGACCCACCGTCGAACCGACCAAGCCCGGTTTCCTCGAGACCGGGCCTGTATCCGCATCTGCGGCGCCGGGTGCGCATCCCATCCCAGGCCCAAACCCATGCCTGATGTACTTGGAGAAGTGCCTCAGTAGGCACCGGATCAAGGATGGTGTTCGACCGGGCGTTTCTGATACAGAAGTTCCGGCCCCGGTCGAAGTCCACCATCCACACTCCTGAAGTTCCGGCCCCAAGTGCCAAAAGCTGGGCTGATAAAGGACTTCATCTCGCTGGGTGTCACAAATGATCGGCGCCACACAGGTGTTCCCCACCTCAGCGGTCACGAATTGATGGCGGTGGAGGAGCGAGCGAAGCGCAGGTCGGTGGATGCAAGGCAGGTCGGTTCAGAGGCACCGGCCGGTGTGTCGAACCCCAATGAACCCAGCCGGAAAGCGATGACCCGCTCTGTGACCTATACCTTTATACCTAGACCCGCCACAGGTGACCAAAACTGCTCGCAGTTGAGAAGACAATTTTTTCAGTAGGCATGAAACAGCAGTTCTGCCCGTAGTAAATAAAACCATCCGCATCCAACATCCGTCATGCAACCAAAGCAAACTTCCTTGACAATTGCGGTTGTTACAAAACGAGTTCCGCTCATTTCCGTCTTTTTCCGCCGATTTCTGCCCGTGACATTTCAGACGATTTCTAGAACAACGCAGAACGCATGACCCTGCCAAAGAAAAGAGATTAAAAAACAATCCAAAACCGAGCCGTTCCGCCCGGGCGGACGGCTTTTTTCAAGGATTCAGCCCCAAAAAGGTGCCCTTTAAAGAACATCCAAAAAACTTGGCACCTTTTCGAGGGTAGGCCTTGGGGCGGCCAAATTCATGGTGCAGGTTGGTAGGCCTTGATCAAGCCGCTCTCTTAAAACCAAGGAGGCAACGTGATTGGGGCCACCCTCCTCGTCCAAGCACAGGTTCCAATCCTGGTTGGCACAAGCAGGCTGGCTTGATGTAGAGATAATACATAAATAAATAAATATATATATATATATTTATACTAATATAAGCGGCGCATGATGGCGCATGCAATGGATGTGTTGTGAGGCGTTTCAACATGTTGAAGAATCGCACATTAACGATCAATCCTTCCACATGTAAGAACCACTGTCCACAGAAACGCGGGATGCTGCCATCCGAGCCATCCGAGTTGGTCAACTCTTTCGACTTGTTGTTAGTTCATGGATCTTTGGCAAAGTCACACCCCTGGGTCCCATGTAATTCACAGTAAGTAACCCAACACATTCAATTCCAACATCCCGCTGCTAGCGGCGCACGGCGACATAAGCCCGCGACAATCCAGCCCTCACCTCTAGACAGGCTGACAGGGGAGAGGGAGAGGGAGAAGTGGGTTCCGAAGCTGCAGGAAGACCGAGGCTCACCCAAATGTTTTGTGGTTGGCAGAGAAGAACACCACTCATGGCAGTGCATCGAAGAGAGCGAGTATGGAGACACCCACTGGAAGTTCATGTTCATGCAGTTTCTTCGCGCAATGGCCATGACACCGGGCATGAGCAAAAACGGACACTTCCGAAGAACCGACACATCTGGCTTCACGGCTCAGAGTTGCATGGAACCATCATGAACCATCCGACCCCCCTCGTCCTGTCGTATCTCCGTCTTCGTGTGAACAGGCGGGGTCCCCTGGCATCCGGAATTGAGGTCGGCGATGAGGTTCATGGAGTATCGCTCCCCCAGCTTCCAATCCTCAGTAGTAGCTGAAAAACGACCTGTGATAGACGATCCTCCGAGAATGGAACATCTCAGGCCCCAGAAAGGAAGAATAGAATTTGTCTGTCTCTTGTTCAATCTGGCAGCCGTGGCTCATGTTGTTCACATTAAGTGTTGAAGATTCATTCAAGCTTCTGGGCTGTCAAAACAAAAAGCTTCCCAATCATCTGCATTCGCCCGAGCCGCTGCCAAGACAGAGGCGAGGTCCCGGCCCCCAAGCTCCTGACACCCTCAGTTTGCGCGGGTGGATTGGCGGAAGTGGAGGGCGAGCTCGGGATCTTGGAGGGTTCGATGGAGATGGTTTTTGTAGACACAGTCTAGGCTCTTTTGGGTCTAGGACCTGCTAGGAGTCGATAGATGAGTCTAGGATGGTGTTCCACGCCCACATTTCCGTCAGCTTCTTCAATTTCGGGGTGGCACCAAAAATTATTCAATACTGCCAAAAGAGGAACAATGAGGAACATAAGAGGACTACAACAAACTAATAGGACGATGTACGATGATGCACCATGATGTACGCATGTACGATGATGTTCACGAACGATCCTCAGGTTCTTTGAACCATCCCAACGAGTGGTCCATGTCCCAATGAGTGGGGTCCTTCTTGATGTCTCCAAGCAATGGCTGTGGGTTGATCGCACGAGTTCCGACCGAAGGCTAGGGCACGAGGAGACGGGAGGTGGCTCTGGTGTTGGTCTTTTGCTCGCATGGTGGACTGGTCTGGCTTACTTAGGTTGGAGGCCATCGCTATTAGGTTCGATCGCTATTAATTAGGTTGGTGGACGGGGTCATGAAGTCATCCAGAAGTCAAGTCAACAACGCCCGGTCGAGTGCAATGGATAAGTTTCGCATACGGTAACACCATGTAACACCGACACTCGGTGGGATGGGACTGGAACATATTCCTTGGATGGGACCCGAGTTGAAACAATGGACCGTCACCCGGTACTTCCATCAGTATGGAGGGACCCTTCAACTACGCTTGACCAAACGGCAAAGCAACCAAAACCAGCATCCTCGGCTGTGCAGGTCAGTTCTCGGGTGGTGTGCTGAAAATGCACCCGGCCTTCCGTGAACAAGATGTGCTTGTCCTGCCGTAGGTCCGCCAAGCGCCTGTTTACAGGGAGATTGGTCCCCACAAGGGCTCATCACCACAAGAAAGACGATGCATTATGGCTACTCGCAGTAGTTGGGAATATCTCGACCCTCACAAACAGTGCCAAGCTGCCCCGAAAGTCAGACTCTGGGCCTAGCACGTAGCTTGAAACGACGAATCTATACGAATCTTATAGAAACCAATGTTGTTTCCACCAAATCTTGCGTTATGATCATATCTCAGATCCGCCAGGGCTAAAGAGTTGCAGTCCATTTTCTGGACTGTCAACACGAAAACATCTTCAACATCTGAAGGGGATCTGTATACGGTCTGCACCCAATCTTGAACCCCCCTATGCATGAAGCACGCCTCACATTCTCGAAGCCAGAGCAAGCCCTCAACTCCTTCACTTCACCTTGCCAAAATGATGGCAAGGCCCTGGATTCAAAGAAACGTTCCATGCGTGCACACATTCAGAAAAGCACATTCAAAAGGCGCTGGGCGAAAATGGCCTCCCTCTTGGCGATCCTCAAAGGTCACCTGGCAGTCGATAGGGACGACAAGCGGGCGTTCAGGGCGGAGCTTTCCACATGCGGAGCTTTCCATATGGGGAGTAAAGTCTATTTGACCTATGTTGGACCATATTTGACCTACCTTTGGGTGGTGTTCAGATGCCAAAAACATCGTGGAACGTGATGGAAATCGATGGACATCAATGGAATAGGTCAATCTTCCAGGTCGCATGGAGGTATGGACTCTGTCGGGGGTTCTTTTCGCGAAAAACCACGTCGCCGGACCTCGGTGCGTGGAGGCCATGTCTCATAGCGAGCATCACCTGGAGAAAAGGCCCAGGGGCATCATCAGGTGAGAGGGTGCCCAACCTGGTCCTTCTCCATGTGGTCGACTACTGCGCATCGTTTATTGAACTAGCGATGGCCTCCAACCTACAAGTGATGGCCTCCACCCTAGTAGTGATGGCGATGGCCTCCAACCTAAGAGCGATTGGCCATGTCATGAACTAACATGAACTAACTATGAATCATTGTGCATCTATAAGAGAGGCTTCGCAGTCTTAAGTCGCACAAGCACACTCACCGATTCATGGCAAGCTGTCTTTCTGACGCGACGCGTGAAGCTCCACAAATCACTGATTCATGGCAAAACTCATCAAATCTCCATCACACCCAGCCCCGCCATACCAGTGATAGGCCACTCCCCAAACAAACTCTGCTGCTGCAGGGTCGTCGTACATCACCTCAGCTCGGCAAACCGGCGTCGCAACTGGGGGCCAGTGGCCTGCTCGTGCACGTCCATCCCATTAGGCACCACACACATATGGCACCGGCGTTTTTAAAAGGTCAAGTCTTAGACAGACTTAAACAGCGCACAAACCCATACAGCTTGGGCTTGTTTGGCAAATCTTTGACCCATACAGCGAGGTAGCGGACCATCGCACAGGTGGGGTGGGTGGAACTAGACAAGAACAGCTTGCTGCATATGACTGTAAATGACGTTGGAACATCTTCAAGCACCTATCATAAACCATCATAAGCCTAAGCTGATGGAACTAGTGGGTGGGAAAGGAACAGTTTGTGTGGAAGGTGAAAAGTGACTCACCTGGCCGCCCTGATACCAATCTGGCCTTTTTCTATCCACAAAGCTCTTCTTCAAGGCAAGCAGCAGCGCCCCGCTCCAACATGCCATCCCGGTTGTGGTCCCAAACGAGGATCTTCACCTGTCTTCGCGTGAAAGGATGTCAACTGCACGCATCGATTCCTGTCCAGTCGCGGATGACAAGGTATGACAGGAACGGAAGTGAACTTGACCCCTTTAGACCCCTGGAGGCCATCGCTTTAGTCACTTGGATGACTTCAGAGGACTTCCGGCTTAGGCCGACTCCAAAAGGCCCGTGCATTCACGTCCTAACCCGACCCCCGAACCCCGGAAGACCGCGAAGACGGCGAGAAGAGCTCGCGTGACCGGGTGGCCCGTGAGCCCTCGCCTCCGGAGAGGCTTTCTGCAGCTGTGGGCCTCGGAGAACGACCGACCCAAGGGCAAAAGGGCGAACGGCTCGGTGTCGTCGAGAGGACGCCGGTCGTGGCGTCTGCGTTCTGCGAAGTCTGCGAAGTGTCTGTGTGACTCACCAAGTCTCCGCCCATGCTGAAGCGATAGATGCAACATCCAGCGGAAACAAAGGGGGAGTTCCATGGAAGAATCATGGAAGTGGAAAACCAGTTGTCATCAGTTGTCTGTCTAGAGGAAACTAAATAGTTATCCGATGCGTAAAAAGAGGGCCATTTTCCACTTCCCTAGAGGGGATGGGGGGTTGACATTGATGGGCCTATCATGGCGTACCAATTAGAACACTGTTTAGCAGCTTAGCTTGGCCAAAAGGACATTTGACACACGAACCCTCGAGGTGCACAGAAGACTCCCTGCATCACACACTGGTGGTCCCAAATTCCCTGACAGAACTCTGGAATCTCAAGGGTCAGGGGTAAGACGTGTGCAACACGCCAACCCCGCCTAAGTGATCCCGGACGAAGGTTCGCTCCTCCTCCGCTGTGTAGATACATGACCTTGCGCGGTCCATCCGAGGGCTGGCATACTAAGCCAATGGGCAAAGGGAGCACGAGGATCATGATTAGTGGATATTAGTGGTATACAATAACAACAATTTAAGCACAAGCGATGTGTGGTCATGGGCTGGTGAAACCACACATCCTTTATGCTTTTCTTGGAGCATGTGTTGAACAAGCCAAGTGCGGGACGGGCTACCCAGCTCTACCAAAGAATCCACCCTCCAAGAAGCCACTGCAGCAAATCAACCCTCGAATCTCCATCCCTTGATGTTTACGTCAGGCTTTTTCTGCAAACACGAAAAAGCAACGGACTCTCGAGCGCATTCTCCCAGAAGAATTCCCTTAATCTGAGGCCTCCCCAAATTTGGACTGGGTTCTGACATTCGCCTTGACACCTCCGTGATCCTTGACACTGCCACCACCACCCGGCGGAGAGTTTTCCTCTGGGACTCTGCAGAAGCTGCTTTGGCTTCATGTGCCTGGAGCACTTCCAACCCGCTGCGTCCATCTTCCGCCTCGGCTTCAGCACGCAGTCACTTCGGTTGGAAAAACAAACAAAAAACACATGGCCGTATATATATATATATATGTAGACATTAATAACTGTACTATATATTCGTACATGTGGCTGTTTGAATGAGTTGGCAGAACTGGGTATACAACGTATGTCCCAGCCAAAGACGGAGGAATAGTAAAAGACTAGAATTCCGAAACATATTGGTTTAGGGTCCTCTCACTCTGTCTCTCCTTTCCTTCAGCGTTTGTGGAAGCATCGCAGCACCTCCAGCTTCCTCAAGACTCGCTGCAGGTCATTCGCCAGTGGCGCCCTGGCTTCGAACCGCCGGTCATGGCACCTGGAGCCCTGTTCACCCTGGTAGGTTGACCATGCCGGCTAGTCTATTCTGTTCATCTTCTGTGGGAAACACCAGCGTTACCAGGTTTTGACCCACAGGCATTTCGGTCCAGGCAACATTTTGGGGGCGTCGGTCTGCCGAACTCGACGAGATTCCTGGGCCTTCGGAGTAAGATCTGAGGGCACACCGTTTACACCCCAAGAGAAATCAAAGGGTCACTTATGGTCACAACAAATCTTGCCCTCTTTGGGTACTGTGTCTCCCACACAAAACACGAACCTTGTCCCGAACTTCATGGGGTCTACACGGAAAAGGAGGCTTCTCCAAGGGAGCGCTTTCTCCACCCCACAGCTCCTGGCGCCTCCAATCTTGCCATTGCCCTTCGAGGTCCAACAAAGACATCTGCGCGCAGTGCAGCCACAAGCGAGGACACCATTCCTGAGGATAGATCGGATAGAGCCAAAAGAAAATTGAGATGCGTGAATTTTCGGGAATCTTCGAAGCTTTGAAGCTTTTTGGAATTATGCTCTTTCAACGTCGCCTTCCAGGTCGGTATTCACCCCACTGAGTGGATGCATTTACAGGGCCCTTTCTGCTTCAGTGGAGTTCTAAGAGATTCTTCCACAACAGCATGGATGTGGGGCTCGCCAAGGTAAACCGACAGCTGATGGGCCACGCATGCTGACCAAACAAGCCTCTGCATCAGAACACCACATCAGGGAGAAGTCACAAACGACCCTCCCTCAAACTGAACTAGTGACACATGATGTGCGACCGACTAATGTCCTTTTTGAGGACAAAGCCTGAAAGCCAAACACTCCAAGTGTCAACCCCAAGAGCCCCGTTGTGGCCGGGGAGCGAATTGCGGCCTCACTTTCCCACGAGCGCTGTAGTTGGCATCACTCACGATCGGGTAGCCTGGATCATCGGCGGTGAGCAGCATGCTTTCATGCCACATTTGCAGAAAAGGTCAACAAAATCGTCAAGTTGTACAGCCATGTTACCGCCCAAATCAAGAATAGCAACCACAAAGCCAAACCAAGCCGTCTGTGCTTATTCTTTGGAACCTTCAAAAGACATCAAAAGACTGTGCGGGGGCATCTTCCCCTGGATTCCCTAAATAACATTCCAGCCTTCCCACGGTCTCCAGCCACCACTGGCTGGAAACACTCGAAGAACCGGCCCGGTGCAGTGGGTGCCTTTGAACTGGAGGTGGGCACGGATTTGGTGCGTCCGCCCAGTGCCAGGATAGCAGGCTGTACTCCTCAAGAAAAAGGCACTCCAATCTACTAGCGATGGCCTCCACCCTAGGAGCGATGGCCTCCAACCCACTAGCGATGGTCTCCAACCTACTAAGCGATGGCCACCAGTACACCTCTCCATTTTCGCCTATACTTACGGACTGGAAGTTAGAATGCAACATGTTTGACGATTTGCCGCCTCCGATAGTTAGAATGCGACTGCACGGCAAAAGAGTTAGAATGCATCCCAGGCATCCCGGAAACGCATGCAATGATACAGCAGTTCTTTTTCCCATCAAATAGCGACTATTGTATTCTGAGGATGCCTTTGCTATTTTGGGGCATTCTCACCACAGGAAAGACAATGTACAAACGTGTGCGTTTTGATGGGTTTGATTTAACATTGAAATATGTATCCTTGTACCATTGAAAACGAACCGTGACTAGTGAGAGCCTCACACTGTCCTGCACACACCCTCAGACCATGCATGCAAGCCAGGGCCAGCTTAATGAATTCATTCTCCAATCTGAAACTCATAAAGGCATGTCTTCCTTTGCCGTGGATTTGCCGTGGTGCTGAACATCGCACAATCAAACTAGCAAATTGGAACATAGGTGCATCCATCGCATTCTAAGTCTTAAATTCCTCACTATGGACAGCCGTTTGGGCCATGGATTTGACACCCCAAGACACTTCCAGGATGCATTCTAAGACTATTTTTCCTCCAGCCTGTGCATTCAACCTCAACTTGTTCCCATTTTGCCGTGGTGCACCCTACGATTTCTTATCCTCGGCGTTTTTGGAGGGGCATTCTAAGTTTCAATCCGGAAGGGAACAAGTCCTTATCTGGGCCAAACCCTTTTGACAGTGTGTGAATGTCAACACCAGCACCAGAAATGGCAATCTTTTGACCAATCCACCTCTCACACCATGAAGTGAACCGGAGAGCGCTCCTCGCGAGCTTCTGCCATTTCCGTGACCTGGCTGTGAGGTGATCCATAGGGTGACACTGGTGATGTGGGATACGACCAGGGATGAAATTTGGACCTGCTCTTTGCTTGCTTGGCTGATTTTGTGTCTGCTTCTCACCAGACACTTGGGCTTGGAAATGGCTCCTACGCAGTCAACACATAGCAACAACAACAACACACCTGTCACGCAATGTAGTGTTAACATAGGATAAAGTAACCTCCCCCTATTAATCAAGCCCAGCTCGAGCCCGCAATACTAACCTAAACCCGGTACATCACCCAATTATTCTTTTCTGGCAGAAACCTCCCCCTATTGATCATTATCAATCAAGCCCAGCTCCCCCAGAAAAACAAATAATATATTTGGTTTTATAATGTTTTATATTTATTTACAGTAATCTTATTGTCTTTTGGGCAGTATCCAATATCTTCTGGTCCATGGTGAAACTGATCTTCTGATCCACCCTTGTCCATCTCATCATCAGGTCCAGGTCCTCATCTCATCATCCATCATCAGGTCATCACCTGGATGTGGTCTCCAATCCCTCCAATCCCAGACCTTGTTGACCTTGTTGACCTTGTAGGGGGGGTGATTAATCCCACGTCGACATTAGTGATGCAAACTGCGACCTTGGCATAGCCCTGAAGCGCGCAGCTCAACTCATCCACTTCTTGGAGCTGGGGAGCCTGGCAGCGGCCGGAAGTTTCGAAAGAAGGAAAAGGACATGCAACTGTCCCACCCCAGGGGCTCCACAGCCAACGACATTTTCAGGCACGTCGTTGTTTTTTTGACTTTTTCATGAATGACTTCGATGGGCATTTGCATCGCCGTCCACACCTTGGCATCAGTCTTGGCATCAGTCCTTCGGAAAACGCCCAAGACTTCGTAGAAGGTCACCGATGGCTTCCCTTTGGGCGAGACATAGGCCTGGCATCTCATGTGACGTCTGACATCATCGCGCGGCCAAAGAGAACATCGGCGAGACACGGCCGAGAAGGACTAGTCACATGTCGGGCTGCCGAACGTGGAGGAAGTGGGGGTGACAGGGTGTCACATCCACAGCCCCTGGATGGGACGAGCCACACCACCCAACTCCATGTGACTCCTGGTGGAGGAACACTAGTCCATTTGAGCCTTCTCAGTTTGAGGTTTCACCGGATCTGAAGGCAGTGTAGTGTTGATCTGGCCAGGCTTGGAAGGCTTGCTGCAGCATGGCGCCAATCAGTTTCTATATGCTCCCTAGATTGAACATGAGAATAAACCATGGTAGAAAGGCAACCAATCCATCACATGGCTTCACATTGGTTGGATCCAATGCTTGGATATGTAGCAACAACAAAACCATATTGGACATATTGACTATCAATTCATATCAATACATTTCTGAATGCGATACGTTTCAGAAGTCAGCCATCTTTGTTGATCCTTTTGCTCGGCTGTCGAGTTCAAACACAGGGAAACCGCCAAGCCTGGTGTACACAGGAGCCAAAATGCAGCCCAAAGGGCGCGATACTTCTCAGCAAAGCCGGAGATGTAGAGTTTGGCGTTGATCTCTCCTCCGCTGCATCGACTGAGAACTCAAACAAACACAAAAACACGGCCATGACACGAAAATGACACGTTCATTTTTCTCCCACGATTTCTCAAAAGGGTTTAGGTCCCATGTTTATCCTATATTGGCCAGAACATGTCCCGTTATTTTGTTGACAGCTGACGGAAGGATCTCTTGTAATTGACTGGCAAGTGCCCCCGCATATGTCACTCTATACCAACACTTTCTTCGATAATTTAAGAAAACACGATCAAGTTCGTGCCGTTGATCCATGAGTCACTACACTGCATCGAGTTCACCGACCGCCGCTCAAAGAATACACAAACTTGTCCATGCACTTGGCATCAAAGAAGGCAGTCAGCTGGCAAGCAAAAGTG